ATCTTTAAAAGTGGGTATAATATAGCCCCAACGTGTTTTCATTCTTTAAAAGTTAAACGAATAGGTCTCATCTTTTTCTAGGCTGCTATTTCAACTGTCCTAACTAATGAGTAATCTGTAAAACAGACGGGAGAAACCTCGGTCTCTGACCGGGACAATGGGGACCATTCCCATTGTCTAAATCAGCTTCGAGGGGGTCTTGCACCTGCCAGCCTGCTCGCAGGAGGGTTTCACAGGGACTGGCGGGACCCCTGATGTACCCACCATCAGGGAGAGGGGCCAGTCCCCCCATTAGCTCCTATTCTTAAAAAAAAAATAAAAAAAAACTGAGTAGACTCCAAATGGAGTTTCAGTAAAGAGACGTGCTCGCAGATTCTGTCTTGTATTTCCTTAGGTCGAGAAAAGGATACTACTCCTTCCTACCGAAGGAAGTAGACGTGCAATCCAGCGACGCAAGTGGGGCGGGGCCATAAATTATGCAGACCCCCGCAGTACTGGTATTAATAATGCATGTGTCCCTACCATGGAAAAACCCCTAATCGGTTTTTTATTTACACCGAAATGCTGCGCCAATATTAACCGCAGTCGCCTTTTCCGTCGTAATGCCTGGGTTTCGAAACCCAAAATATCCTCCCCGAATCTTATAGGTCAGGAGACCTATGAGACCCAAAAGGGATCCTATAGGATTCTAAAGGATCCTATAGGTTTTTCGTGTTTCAAAAACCTATAGGAAAGTCTATAGGTTTCCTATAAGAAATAACTATAGGTTTCCTATAGGACGTTTCCGTAAGGGTCTAAAAGCATCAAGCTGAGCCTGCAAAGAGGAATGGAATCAATTTGTTCGACTGGTATCAATCGCCCCTACAACAAAAACACATTGAGCATGCACGAAACAACTCCGCATCGACCTGTGTTTGTAATTAATAGCGAATGGTATTCTTAAGTAAGGGAAGTTGCAGCCTATGGATCTTGTCTGAGGTGATTAAATTGCTCCGGGAGCCAATAAATTGGGGTTTAGTTGCGTACATCCTCTAATAACTCCTATGATCACGCGTGTCTTTAAAGCCATGCAGCCGGGTGGGCGGCTGCATGTTTCTCATCTTGCTTCTAAGTACTCCTCGTGCGAGTGGAATGATTGTTACCGACAGTGGATAATGATAGAGACTTTTGACGGAAACTGACGCATGGGTATGTCACGCCTGAAGATTGATCGATAGATGTTGCTGGTGGACCTTTCAGAGGGAGAAGTGTTTCTCATATTTATCTGTTCGATTAGGGGATCTCAATGGTGGACTTTGGACTCACCGCAATTCATTTCCTTGGTTTTCTCGACTTCTTTCTCGAATTGATAGCCGAATATCTTGATGCCCGTTAGAGGGTCTACGCAATAACACCTGAAGGATGGGAAGAGACAATCAAGTCACCATGAAAACAGAATTCCTTTATTATTCCTAGGTTTTCCAAGGAAGTTTTCGGTGCCTAAAATGCAAGCAGACTGCTGGTTATTTTTATATTAATGACTCCACATTAGGTAACGATTCCACCGGAAAAAAGGTCAATATACTCAATTGGAATACAACTTTGTTGCATCATTTTTTTTGCGCTCACCTGCCAGTATTCAAGTCGCCTTGACATTGATAGGGTGCATAGTACCCTTTGTAGGTGCCATCCTCCTTTCGCACTCGACAGTCCGGGACGTGAAGCCATCTGGGTATGTCCTTTCCCGCCTCGATTGCATCATGGATTTGTTTCAAGGCTTTCTTCCTCTTCACGATGCAGTGTTCGCCGGCGTTCCGGTCCTCTTTGGGAGGCGAAGGGGAATGCTTTTCAAGATCGAGTCGATTTCGGGGGATCTGAGTGTTAGTGGGCCTTTATTCAGGTATGAAGGGAATTTCTTTGGTCCCTTCCTGCCTTTCTCTAGAACCTTGATTACTTGACGAGAGCTGGATAAATATTGCATCACCTAATGTGAACATGTGAGGAAAGGATAGAATGTAATCGTTAAGCTTTCATGTTAACGTCATTAGTTAACGATATCATGATATACAGTATACTCCTAGATTTCATTGTAGACTATATTTCTGGGGGCAGGGCCGTTTCTAGGGGCAGGCGATCGCCCGGGGCGCAAGCGGGGTAAAGGGGGATGGGGGAGGGCGCCAGAGTGGTAAAGGGGGAGGGGGGGGGGCGCCGTTGGAACTTCTTGCCCTGGGCGCCAACACGCCTAGAAACGGCCCTGTCTGGGGGGTTTTCCCCACGGTCTCTGAGGTTCGTAGCATGGTATGTTGCGCTCGCTTCTCTTGCTATAGTACACCGATTCAATTCAATTAAACAGGGTAAAGCCAGAAGTTTAACCTGCAACGCAATCTGCAGCTTCAAATGCTCCAAAGCGTCCACATGAGAATTAAATCTAAAACTTTAATTGAAAGAGACTGAAAGTTGTGATGGCTGTCACTCCTAACGCGCGGAGGACTAAATGGCTCTGCCGTTTTGGGCCATAGGCTAGACCATAAAAACTTTGGTATAACCTTAATCTACTTTTAAAAGACTCACCATGTAGATGGCAATTACAACAGGTTGTGAAGAATACTGCCACATTTTGAAAATCAATTACTTGGTAATGCAAGATTTGATTGACCTGGTTTATACAGTTACAATGAAGAGATAATTCTCTATCAAATAAAAAGTGTCTGCATTTTTTGTCGATGGTATCTTTTTTCATGAGACGTAATTTGAATTCCTTTTTGGGGGTCATTTGAAGACAGTCACATTTGAAAAGACGCCTGCGGCGCTGAGTCGACTTCTTTGTCGCATGTCTGATGGATCGTGTCTCCAATGCGATGGATTCCAATCGGAAGAAGTTAGAGGAAAGTGACCGAGAAACGTTTGACCATCGGTAATCGTGAACCAATTGTTCGGCTTAACACCAAATTCGGCAAGAGTACGTCACGGAAACAACTAGATAATCGAAGAAGAAATTGAATCGAGAAATCGTCAGCCGCAAGTCCATCGTCCACATCAACTAGAATTTTGACACACACGGGAATAAATGGCAGACTTTCTCCGATTGGACGCCCCCCATCGACGATCCCTGGAAGCACATAACAATTAATCAACATTGATTCAATGTTGTTTCAATGTTGAGTGCTACTAGGGATGCCATTCTAGATCATAGTCTATGGCATCCTGTTTGCATATTTATTTGTGAGGTGTGGTCTCGATGATAATAAATTATCTTGGCAGCAACACTTTTGAACTTTTTCCAGGTTTGATTGAAGATTTAACATTTTTGGTTTGAGCCGAACTGCTTCATATCTTTATGTAAATATTTTCACATATCCGCCCGTTAGACGGCCAGCCTAGCCGCCGCAGGCCGCTAGTAAACACGGTAAAGAGAAAGAACGCTTGGATGCTTTCGCCCAAATCCATCGTGTAAAGCGTTGTAATATTGTTACCTGTGCAAATGCCTCTCGTGCATGGATATCCAGGGAGGCATTCCCCCGTGTCGATCACTCCGTCGAGGCCGCTCCTTCTGCGCGATCCAGCGCTGCAGATTTCATTTGGTTCTAGAAAGAAAAATGATGAATGATTCATTCACCAGAGATTGCTTTCAGGCAGGTCCATTCGCGCTAAAATGGAAGCTTTCAAGTAAACCATAGTTTTTGCAATGCGAACATTTTTTAAATACAAGCTATACAGGGTGTTGTTGCTAAGCCGCAAAGGCGCCAAAGCTGGACTCTTTCTCCCCCGCCACTTCTGAATTTCCTGATTCTACTCGTATGCAGTCTAGGCATTGCAAGGTGGGCCAGGAGACGGTAAAATGCTGTTAAACTTGAAGCTTTGCAAAGAATCTGAGAGAGATCTTTTTTTTTCACTTATTCCCTCATAATATACAGAATATATCCCGATATTATTTTTTTAATTATTCATTTTTCCTTCAAGATATACTTCATCATGTGTACTGGTCATCACTGAAGTCGTAGTAGTACTTCGACTGCAGTACAGTAAATTGGCACCTGGCAATACATTTCAGAAGATATACAGGGTGTCCGTAAATGCTTTTCCGATTTGGATATTTTATTACTCAGCGTTACTTCAAGCTACACTTATGAAACACATATCAACCGAAAGAACAACTTTAACAGTTTTTATTGCCGTACACCAAATCATTAATCAAGTTCAATGTGAGCGCCAGGAGTAACTCGAACCACATAGTCATACCGCTTCACTTTGACCGAAGGTTTCAATTTTTGCAACATCTGTAATCGATATGGCCACAAATGAAGGCGCTTGCGAAGAACCTGCCAGACACTTGTTTTCGGCATGTTAAGTTCCCGACTGGCACGGCGTTTTTTGGGGACTGCGTAGAAATGATTGCTAAATGGTTTCAATGCGCTCACGGACGGTCTGCCGGTGCTTTTGCGTTTACACGCACAGCGATCGCTAACAAAACGCTCGTACCAAGCACGAATTGATGGCTGGCTTGGAGGAGCCTTCCCATACTTCCGTCGAAACTGTCTCTGCTCTGTAACAACCAATTTTGTCTCATGAAACGCCAAGACACGGAATGCTTTCTCCGGCCCGGACACCATTTTGCTGTACCGACGAATTAGCTCTGCCCGGCGGGCAGAATGCACAACTTGCAATCGCGAGTCAAATTCAAACTTTCAGAGTTCACCTTACATGTAATTTCAAAGCAGCTACTTGAACAAAGTCGGAGTATAAAAGCATCAAAATCGGAAAAATCATTTACGGACACCCTGTATATTGAAGCATCAGCATTAATGTTCGGGCTGAGCATTCCTCCCAATTTCCGATCTGCTTTCTTCAATAGGAAAAATACGGCCAGACCGGATGATGAAAATGTCTCTTGATTAAAAAGTCCCTATTGCAGATTATTTTGAAGTAGCTGGTACCCGTGAAACATTCAAGTCTTCGTATTTAAGGTTAAGGGATAATACTGTTTCAAAAAATTTAAATGAAACACACAGCTGGAATTTACAACGGCTATATTTCGAATCAATAATATTGCGTGCGCCCCGCCCTCTCCCATAAGCCAATTCCATAATTACCCTATTTACCAAAATACAGGTTTGATTCCTTTAAAATTCAAATGAGACAATTTGTATGAATTCGAAACGTTCGTGCATCAGATGAAGGGAAGATGCTTCCCTTCTTCTTAGATCTCAAATTTCTCTTTTTAGTTCCCGAGTTCCTCTATTGGACTGACCCGACCCGCGGATCGGGCCAGCAGCTCGGTCCGGAATCGAGTTTCCTGTTAGGCGCAAGCGAATACGTGTCAGAAGGATTTCTTGCAAAAAAAAAGGCACCTCGTTCCGTCAGCTCTCGACGCGATCACGTCATTAAATGTCGTCACCCTCGGGCAAGCAGCTGGCAGTGGAACGCAGTGAAAACACGACGGGCCCACTCGAACAGGCGAATAGCATTCAAATGAGGCATTTCGCAGGATTTTTTGAACTGCCAAATTTGGGGTCATTAATAAAGAGATGAAGCATGGGATTCTTCCGTCATCAGAGGCCACCAATTGACTTTGAATCCAAAAAGAAACCCCAACCCCTGTGCCTATGAAGAAATAATTTAGAGAGATCACCCGACGGAGTGAATGCGGGGGATGGGGATGAGCTCTATCAGGCAGACCCGACCTGCGGATCGGTTGGCAATCGAGTTTCATGTTGGGTGCAGGCGAATACGCTAGAATACACTCAGAGGAGTCTTTTTCTCGAACCGTTTACAGTACAGCTGCTGGCAATACAGATGCGATCACGTCATTAGATGACGTCACTCTCGGGCAAGTAACTACCAATGGAACGTTGTGAACTATGAGAGCACCGAACAGGCCAACACCACTGTGACGTCATGGGAAGTCAGGTGGAAGCCTCAGCAGAGCCGGTAGAGCCGCCCAGAAAAAGGACGAACCTCGAGACCCGGAGTTCCGAAGTTTAGAGGCCTAATCGGGCTGCGGGCCNCTCGACGCGATCACGTCATTAAATGTCGTCACCCTCGGGCAAGCAGCTGGCAGTGGAACGCAGTGAAAACACGACGGGCCCACTCGAACAGGCGAATAGCATTCAAATGAGGCATTTCGCAGGATTTTTTGAACTGCCAAATTTGGGGTCATTAATAAAGAGATGAAGCATGGGATTCTTCCGTCATCAGAGGCCACCAATTGACTTTGAATCCAAAAAGAAACCCCAACCCCTGTGCCTATGAATAAATAAATTAGAGAGATCACCCGACGGAGTGAATGCGGGGGATGGGGATGAGCTCTATCAGGCAGACCCGACCTGCGGATCGGTTGGCAATCGAGTTTCATGTTGGGTGCAGGCGAATACGCTAGAATACACTCAGAGGAGTCTTTTTCTCGAACCGTTTACAGTACAGCTGCTGGCAATACAGATGCGATCACGTCATTAAATGACGTCACTCTCGGGCAAGTAACTACCAATGGAACGTTGTGAACTATGAGAGCACCGAACAGGCCAACACCACTGTGACGTCATGGGAAGTCAGGTGGAAGCCTCAGCAGAGCCGGTAGAGCCGCCCAGAAAAAGGACGAACCTCGAGACCCGGAGTTCCGAAGTTTAGAGGCCTAATCGGGCTGCGGGCCGCCCCGATCGGCTCGACCAGACCCGCGGGTTGGATTCACTAAAATCTCGATTCGGCGATCGAATTTCGGGCCGAGTAGTCGGGTAGGACCACGACTCGAATCGGGCCGGATTCGGAAGAGTCGACCAGTGCAGGCCTCCGGCGGACAGACAGGACTGCGTCGACTATTATTATATAGATAATTATTATAGAGCATTTCAAATTTCGGCACGATTTAATTTTTTCGATTATTCCAGGCTCCTCGTCCATTGCGCGTTGAACAATTTTTGAGGGCAGAAAGCTGGACCAAAGACTCAATTATGAAAGCTCATCGCGTTCTTTCTTTGCGACAGACACAGACGCTGGTGACACGGAAAACACTGGTACTTGCATCGTTTCCCATCAGAACGTGACGTTTGTCCTTACGCGAATATGAGGGTCAGTCAATAAGTTCTGAGACCCCCCCATCAAAAAAGTTAATGAAGTCAGCATAGCTAATATTTCTATTGTGATCCTTAAAAGGACTCTCCAAGGCAGTCTGCAACTCGTTGCCACCTATATGGAAGGGCTAGAATGGCTCCATCCAGCCCATTTCGTTGTATGTCTCTCAGCTTCTCAGAAACGGCCATGTTGACATCCAGCCGTGGATTGATAGCGGATGCCACGAAGCGGTTCTTTGAGTTTTGGAATAGATTGAAGTCTGGGGGAGAGAGGTCTGGTGAATAAGAATGGTGAGCCAGCAATTCCCAGTCCCATTCAAGCTAGTTGCGTAACAATAATACGTGCCCTTTGAGGAACAGCGCCATCGTGAAGAAACTGAACCATGCTCGATCAATTCCGGCTGCTTTTGAACTACCTCGTAAGGAGATTCTGCTGGATTATGATGTACCACCTGGTGAATCTGTCAACGCTGACCTATACCGATGGGTGAGTCACAGGTTGCGGCCGGCTAAAGTTCCAAAACAGCCAAAGTTGATCGAGCAAGGTCCACTGTTTCTTCACGATGACGCTGGTGTCACCGCTTCGTGGCATCCGCTATCAATCCACGGCGGATGTCGACATGGCCGTTTCTGAGAAGCTGTGAGACATACAACGAAATGGGCTGGATGGAGGCATTCTAGCCCTTCCATATAGATGGCAACGAGTCGTAGACTGCCTTGGAGAGTACCTTGAAGGATCACAATAGAAGTATTAGAAGCTGACTTAATTCACTTTTTGATAAGGGGGTCTGAGAACTTATTGACTGACCCTCGTAGATTCCTGTATCTGCGGGATGATTCGAATGCAGAGCCTTTTGGAAAATATGAAAGTTCCCCAATCGACTGGCGTATTTCAACTACGACAGCTTGTAACTGCTCCGAATTATTCAATTATTCATTTCATGTGTGGTTAGAATCCTGAACCCTTACAGATTTTGTAAATGTACGTTTTCTGCAGAATCAGTTTCTTCTTTCCTCTTTTTCCCTCGACTCTTACAGTTAAGCTTTGATAACTAGAGTAATACGGCGATAAAGCTTCCACGATAATTGGAATGCGTGGGTGTTCACTTCCTTTGACGCGCAATGATGTTAACCAGTGTTCATATTTTATTACATTTTTATATCTGGCTATGTATGCCCCATCACTTCTCAGGGTTTCCTTTTTTATTTCGGCATGAAAAGCGGATTTCGCACGAAGAAACCGTGCGAAATCCGCTTTCGATAAGAATTCACCATATGTTCCTCTCGACGAGAAAATGAACTACTGTCATTTTTTTCCCAAATCTTTGGACTAGACTTGCTCCCGGACCGAATCGTGCACTCACCCAAAAATCGGAGGCAGGCCGGGCAGCAGCCGCAGATGCCTCCATCCTCGACGAAGTACGTCTCCTCCGGGCAGTCACCCTCGGACAGAGCCTTCTCGGTCGTGGCGCACTCGGTCACCTGATCACAGAACCCGACGGGGCAATCCTGGTCGGGGATGAGGGCGGAGATGCCCAGGAAGAGGGGAACGAGGACGAAAAAGAACGTTCTTGCCATAGTGTGGTGGGGTGGCATCACTCAGATACGTTTGAGGGAATTTCCCTCTTATCAGGCGATACCCACATCAATTTCATCTTATCTGGTCGTAAATACGTCATGGTTTATGGCAGAGTTGAGCAAGGCCGATCCTGCAGCAAGCGCAAACAAGTTGTCGGAGTTCATTCTTTCAAATCGCTCTCTTCATCGCAAATATTATAGTATATCGTATATACATAATATAAATATTATAAATCGGTGGCTCGATGATCTCATCCGAGTTCAACAGATTCCGTACCAGCTGAGTTGGGATGAGTTCCTCGAACTGCATTAAAAANTTAGAGAGATCACCCGACGGAGTGAATGCGGGGGATGGGGATGAGCTCTATCAGGCAGACCCGACCTGCGGATCGGTTGGCAATCGAGTTTCATGTTGGGTGCAGGCGAATACGCTAGAATACACTCAGAGGAGTCTTTTTCTCGAACCGTTTACAGTACAGCTGCTGGCAATACAGATGCGATCACGTCATTAGATGACGTCACTCTCGGGCAAGTAACTACCAATGGAACGTTGTGAACTATGAGAGCACCGAACAGGCCAACACCACTGTGACGTCATGGGAAGTCAGGTGGAAGCCTCAGCAGAGCCGGTAGAGCCGCCCAGAAAAAGGACGAACCTCGAGACCCGGAGTTCCGAAGTTTAGAGGCCTAATCGGGCTGCGGGCCGCCCCGATCGGCTCGACCAGACCCGCGGGTTGGATTCACTAAAATCTCGATTCGGCGATCGAATTTCGGGCCGAGTAGTCGGGTAGGACCACGACTCGAATCGGGCCGGATTCGGAAGAGTCGACCAGTGCAGGCCTCCGGCGGACAGACAGGACTGCGTCGACTATTATTATATAGATAATTATTATAGAGCATTTCAAATTTCGGCACGATTTAACTTTTTCGATTATTCCAGGCTCCTCGTCCATTGCGCGTTGAACAATTTTTGAGGGCAGAAAGCTGGACCAAAGACTCAATTATGAAAGCTCATCGCGTTCTTTCTTTGCGACAGACACAGAGGCTGGTGACACGGAAAACACTGGTACTTGCATCGTTTCCCATCAGAACGTGACGTTTGTCCTTACGCGAATATGAGGGTCAGTCAATAAGTTCTGAGACCCCCCCCCATCAAAAAAGTTAATGAAGTCAGCATAGCTAATATTTCTATTGTGATCCTTAAAAGGACTCTCCAAGGCAGTCTGCAACTCGTTGCCACCTATATGGAAGGGCTAGAATGGCTCCATCCAGCCCATTTCGTTGTATGTCTCTCAGCTTCTCAGAAACGGCCATGTTGACATCCAGCCGTGGATTGATAGCGGATGCCATGAAGCGGTTCTTTGAGTTTTTGAATAGATTGAAGTCTGGGGAGAGAGGTCTGGTGAATAAGAAGGGTGAGCCAGCAATTCCCAGTCCCATTCAGCTAGTTGCGTAACAATAATACGTGCCCTTTGAGGAACAGCGCCATCGTGAAGAAACTGAACCCTGCTCGATCAATTCCGGCTGCTTTTGAACTACCTCGTAAGAAGATTCTGCTGGATTATGTTGTACCACCTGGTGAATGTGTCAACGCTGACCTATACCGATGGGTGAGTCACAGGTTGCAGCCGGCTAAAGTTCCAAAACAGCCAAAGTTGATCGAGCAAGGTCCACTGTTTCTTCACGATGACGCTGGTGCCACCGCTTCGTGGCATCCGCTATCAATCCACGGCGGATGTCAACATGGCCGTTTCTGAGAAGCTGGGAGACATACAACGAAATGGGCTGGATGGAGGCATTCTAGTCCTTCCATATAGATGGCAACGAGTTGTAGACTGCCTTGGAGAGTACTTTGAAGGATCACAATAGAAGTATTAGAAGCTGACTTTATTCACTTTTTGATAAGGGGGTCTCAGAACTTATTGACTGACCCTCGTAGATTCCTGCATCTGCGGGATGATTCGGTTGCAGAGCCTTTTGGAAAATATGAAATTTCCCCAATCGACTGGCGTATTTCAACTACGACGGCTTGTAACTGCTCCGAATTATTCAATTATTCATTTCATGTGTGGTTAGAATCCTGAACCCTTGCAGATTTTGTAAATGTACGTTTTCTGCAGAATCAGTTTCTACTTTCCTCTTTTTTCCCTGGCTCTTACAGTTAAGCTTTGATAACTAGAGTAATACGGCGATAAAGCTTCCACGATAATTGGAAGGCGTGGGTGTTCACTTCCTTTGACGCATTATGATGTAAACCAGTGTTCATATTTTATTACATTTTTATATCTGGCTATGTATGCCCCATCACTTCTCAGGGTTCAGCTATTTCCTTTTTTATTTCGGCATGAAAAGCGGATTTCGCACGAAGAAACCGTGCGAAATCCGCTTTCGATAAGAATTCACCATATGTTCCTTTCGACGAGAAAATTAACTTCTGTCATTTTTTTCCCAAATCTTTGGACTAGACTTGCTCCCGGACCGAATCGTGCACTCACCCAAAAATCGGAGGCAGGCCGGGCAGCAGCCGCAGATGCCTCCATTCTCGACGAGGTACGTCTCCTCCGGGCAGTCACCCTCGGACAGAGCCTTCTCGGTCGTGGCGCACTCGGTCACCTGATCACAGAATCCGACGGGGCAATCCTGGTCGGGGATGAGGGCGGAGATGCCCAGGAAGAGGGGAACGAGGACGAAAAAGAACGTTCTTGCCATCGTGTGGTGGGGTGGCATCACTCAGATACGTTTGAGGGAATTTCCCTCTTATCAGGCGATACCCACATCAATTTCATCTTATCTGGTCGTAAATACGTCATGGTTTATGGCAGAGTTGAGCAAGGCCGATCTTGCAGCAAGCGCAAACAAGTTGTCGGAGTTCATTCTTTCAAATCGCTCTCTTCATCGCAAATATTATAGTATATCGTATATACATAATATAAATATTATAAATCGGTGGCTCGATGATCTCATCCGAGTTCAACAGATTCCGTACCAGCTGAGTTGGGATGAGTTCCTCGAACTGCATTAAAAACAATGATCACCAGGGGCTAAATTCGATAAAACAACCCCTACATTTCCGAGTTACAGTAAGAAGTTTTGTTTGTGGCACAGTTGGACTGCCACGTGGAACGACGACATGGAAACCCCCGATCATTTCGGAACGGTCCAATCCAATCGTTTGAGTCTTCAACCTGGGCGGAGGTTGGTCGCAAGACTAAGACCTCATTTTTGGTCCTTTGGTCTTGACCGCTAGGTCGAGGTCACCTCTCATTCAATACTGTGGTTTATTCCCCTGAAGTTTCATTACTTCGAGTACTCATTATCTCCAGACCTTTTCCATGAATAGTTGACTGATTTCCTACGAGCGAAAGTCGCGATTAAAAGAGGGAGGTTGATAACTTGGCGTTTCGAATGCAGCCAATCCTGTTGTACCCGTAAGAATTAGTGCTGAGATGTCGAGAGGATTCGTATCTTCTGGGATCTCTAAGTTACCAATCTCATTCGCACGAACAGGAAGAATCTGACCAGGAATTGGATTTTAGAACTTTCGTGATTCAAACTGGTTTCTTCCGTGAGTGTATACAAAGAAGTGAACTTTCTTACGTCGCTCTGCCTGTTATAATTATAAATGGGGAAATAGGGAGAAGAGTTTTCGGTTCAAGCTTGGCTACTGCGAAAGGAAAACGAATCGAGCCGCTGTTATAACAATAATCGTATTGCAAGTCTAGGGATTTCGAAGCACGAGACGGCGTGCAACACCAACCAGTATGCGCAAAAAAATACATAAATTAGTTCGACATGCGTAAAGTAAATAAAAATGGTAGGAGCCATGAAACTTCGAGAAACGCGGCACACGTGAGAATGAAACGGAAAGTTGTATTTCATGAACAAAAATATTCCTGAGAAGTGGATTTGGCAATCCAATAAGCACTTCTTCTAAGACCAGATTGTCGGCAACGGTGCCAGCATCACTTTTGACTCGCTTCGGTCTATCGAATCCTCAGCGAATCCTCGAGCAGGCAAAGTACGTTTGCCCATGTGTGGAAACGGAAGTATCCGGAAGTTGTAGTATCGGAAGTAGTAGTCCGACTAGATCGAATGTCGGTCCCAGAGAATTGTTCATAGTCGTGCCATAGGCAGGCTCGATAGGGACGGCGACGAAGATCGAACTGTATGCTAACATCAGGCGACGCGTCCAGCGAAACTCTCGGCAGCAAACGAACGCTGTCGCGAAGCGCGTCCGTGATCACCTCGACTTGTAAGAAATTTGCGTTCGCGTCTCTCACGATCATAACGCGTACCGTTGCGAAGGCCGTTCCCGATCGAGGGATTCCGCAGAGACATCACGATAGCTCCAATTTTAAGGTTTAATGGTGAGGGCGACCCGGATGATAGAGAGTATTGAGGAATTCAATCGGAAAGATGACCTGTCGATCGCATCATCATCACCATGATGAAAAGAGTCGATAACTGTGATGAGTCCGCATTTCGCCTTCCAACCGAGACGACACGTCCTTATGGCCCAAACGGGGATTGCTCGTTCTTGGGAAACGGAATGACGCGCTTGCTGCTCAGTCCGGCATCGCAGGTCCTATGCCGTCGTCCAAATAGTTCGTCTATAAAATCATCCGAGATACAAATCGTCGGGTAAACGCACGGAGATGACTGTACTCGCTGAAGTGTTCCGCTGCCCACATCGCGCAGCCATCGAGCAAAACGAATTTCGTTTGCAGCAGCACGCATGTTGCCTGCCAAACGAATCGTTCGGAACGATGACCACATAGGGCTCATTTTAAAGCAAGTATTGAGGATTTGACCGCGAGATGCTTTGCGGACGACCGGAAACACTCGACGAGAGCCACCACCCAACACAACTACTTTCCCACCGAATGGACGGTCATCGTCCAGAGAGTCTCGCGACGCCCCGAACCGAATGATGACGTCGGGAGCTCGAATCACCGCCTGCATTTTGCGCGATAAACGACACGTTTCATGCGCGAGCCGATCCGATGGCAAGTCGAAGGCCGTGTGACACGTCATTCTGCCAGGCAGCAGAATTGCAGGAATGCCGGTCCACACAACGCTCACCTCTCCGCCGTGCAACATGCGTCAAAAGGTTGTTGGCTGTTCGTAGCCAGGTGATAGGCCTCGCCAAATGATTTGAAGCAATACCGGGATTGTCAACAATCGTTGCAATGAAGGAAGAAAACGCATTTGGGCTGGGGTGCTGCCTGATAAACTCGCGAAAGTTACGCGTGCGTGTGCATCTTTC